ATCCATATGGACTTAGGCTTAATGTATGTTTTTTTTTTCCCCCCCCCCCAAGATCACCTTCTTTCCTTACCTCAGAGCCAGGTTTTGTTTTTGTTTTTTTTCCCACCATAACATGCCTTTCCGGTAATCATTAATGCTCTGTACAAATTTTTAAATTACATGTGTTCCAAAACAGTTCTTTTTCTATTTTCCCAACTTGGTATTTATATTGACAAAGTTGTGCCCTTTTCTAGGTTTTGTATGTATCTTGCACCTTCTTAATCACCAGGCAAAACATGAATGAATATACAGGCCTAGTAAGGTACTAACTGTGACCTGGCACGTCTCTAATACAGCCTTCTTTTTTGTACTATTACTAACAACACTCTTATTAGTTTGAACTCAAACTCCACTTACTCCAATAACTTTCCTAAATCCCTCAAATGCAATTAGTCTCTCACCCTCCAAACTTCATTAACACTCTCTTCACACCTCTATAACACCTGTCAGTCTACACAAAGTTATAATTATTTACAACTCTGTCTCCTAACTTCTATGTGCATACCTCGAACTGTCCACCAAACATCAGAATGCACTTCACATAGTAGAGCTTTGGTACCGGTTTAATGAATTGTACTGAAAAGGTGAAGAGCTTAATTTAGTGTTTAGGAACTGTTTCTAATTCTGCATACCCTCCTTATTCTCAATTGTAAAGCATTTTAAAAATATACAAAACTATGAAAAACACAATGGGAGAAACATGGGGAAATGGCAATAAAGAACGTAGAAGTAAAACATGAAGCCATGATAAAACGGATGTGATGCCCTCTGTACTTCCACACGTGGTCCAGTAAATCGGTGCTTGAATCCCTCTCTCAGCCATCACCATTCTGCCCTGTCATCCCCTTTCACTCTATTTCAAAAACCTCCCCCATCACGGGGTATACAACAGAACACTTCGCTGAACAGGCCTTAGCTCTTTTTCATAGGACCGTATACCCCAAAGTATATCAAGTAACCGACTTCCTCTTGCCTTGCTCCTGTTCTGGCCACCTTCACCAGAACAAGAGTGGGCAACCATTTCCCTTTAACAGTCCCAACTAAAATGGAAGCGCGTCTAGACCTGGACACCTTTAATCTTCTGTAAGCCCCAGGGTTTTTAGGTCACTGGCCACCGTCTCGATGTGACTTGAGATAGACATCTGTCTTCCAGGCGCAGTCTTTCCACAACTTCCTAACACCGCCTTAAGGTCCCATTACCCTCCATACGCAGCCTACCCTGTAGGCCTCAAGGAAGGTTGACATGTTCTCGAAGATGACTTGACCTCTGGGCACTTTTATTTAAACGTACTCTCAGACCTTCTAACTTCCTTCCTCGAAACTGATCTTCCGCACCAGTCCTATACTTCCTGAGTTTCCCATTCCCCAAGTAACATGTCCACCTATCACCTCCTCCACTTTGGGAGATCTGCGTCTCTGCTCTCCACTAACCTCACTCTTTTCCCTTCCCGGCTGGGGCTCGGCCTCCTCTAGGTCGAGGGTCTCCCCGCCGGCCCACCGCACCGGCCGCTCGCCCCTACTCTACCGCCGCTCCTCTCCTACTCACTTTGGGTTTCTCCGGCAGCTTCTTCCGGTTCTTCCTCTTCTGCTCCTCGCTTCTCAGATTCTTCAGCAGGGCTAGGTCGTCAGGGGCCGGGGCCGGCGCGGCCGCCGCCTCCTCCCGCTTGCGGGGCGGGCTCCTCCGTTTTTTGCGGGCGCCGGCGCAAGCCGCGGCCCAGCCGTAGACCAGCAGGAAGAGCAGCAGCAGCCCGAGCGCGCCCGTGCCCACCAGGATCACCCAGCCCGGGTACCGCTTCGGCTCCAGCCCCAGGTCGAGGCCCAGCTCCGTACGCAGAAAGCCTAGGCCGACCGAGAGCATTTCCCTCAGCCGGGCCGAGCCCTCCTCGGCCTGCTGGGCCAGCTCGTCCTGCCAGCTCCGTGCAGCCATCTTCCCTCCCGTCAGAGGGACTCGCAGGATGACGCTGGGGCGCAGACACGCCGTGGAATAGTCAAGGAAAGCGAGGAAGGACCGGGCCGGGCAGCCTCAAGCCGAGTGCATCGCGGCCGCCCCACGCGCCGGAGCCGGGGATCGGCCGCTGTCACCGCGGGGAGGGCCGAGGGGGCTCCCAGGTTCCCCCTAATCAGCCTCACTCCGCCGCCACCAGGAGGAGGGGGGAGAGGGAGGGGGCGATGCGAGGGGGAGTGCCTCCAGTGGCGGCCGCTAAGCGGCGTCTGGGCGCCAGCGGCGGACCCCGCCGTCCTCCTTCGGCGGAACAATGGCGGCTCCGGCTGCGACCCACGGCGCGCGCCCCGACGGCCGGGATTACGTGCGCGCCCGTGGGCGGGGCGTGGGTGTCACGTGGGCGCGGGCGGGGCCGGTTGGGGCGGAGGCGCGGCTGTTGGGGTTCGTGGTGACCCTTTCGGGCTTGGTGGAGACGCGCTGCCCGGAGACGGGAAGCTGGGAGGGGTTAACTGGAGGAAGCCTCGGCGGGATGGCTGGTGGCGCGGAGCTAGGAGACGTGGCTCTCCGAATGAATCAGGGGAGGGGCTCTCGTGGAAGGCGGGGTGTGAGGTGGTGGGAGGGTCAAGAGCAAGGAACCGGGTCACGGGGTCTAGGTCAAAGTCGCCCTAGCAGGTGTAGGGTTTTCTTTCTTTTTTCTGGGGTTGCATGGGGTGGGGCGGGGAGCGGCTTTTTCTCCCTGGGGTCATCGATCGGCTAGGTGTTTCCAGAGTGGGCTCAGCGGAGTCTCAAGCCGGGCACTCTTAATCCAGGGCCTAGGTTCAATTCGCAAATTGGGCATTTTTCCTCAGGGCCAACTAACGTTGCATGCCTGCCATTTGCCAGCCTGTCTAGAGCGCGTTCGCGTGGTTTCGTTGCTCATTCACTCTTGCTGTCACTGTTGTTGGTCCCCGGAATTCAAAAAAGTTGGATAGCCCGTGGGCGGTATTGTTCTTTTCCTATTAATTTGTCTAGAGCGCGTTCGCGTGGTTTCGTTGCTCATTCACTCTTGCTGTCACTGTTGTTGGTCTCCGGAATTCAAAAAAGTTGGATAGCCCGTGGGCGGTATTGTTCTTTTCCTATTAATTTAATAAGAAATAAGAGAACTTAGCTTAAACACATTAGATTGTGTTTACACGTAGGGGTAACTTCCTCGTTGCATTTTATTTTAAGCTTTTATACAACAACAGAAAAAGCGTTTCAAAAAATCCTGTTTTTATACGCCGTGTTGACGGCCTCTGCGACACGGCCTTAGAAGGAACCGAATTGCCTTTTCAGGTTTCAGTTATAAAGAAAATGTTTGGGGGCTACCTTAGGGTAATTTCATTTTGCTGTAAGGAAACTATTTTATCTTAAACGATAATTAGCATTATAAGCAAGTGTCTTAAGTGGACTAAATACAAGCTTTCTCAATACAACGGGGGTAATATTAATAAGCACCAAATGCCAAAAGTGCATTCAGGAATATTTTGACCTACTTTGCTACAGTGTTGAAATGCATGTTGTGATTAATGGGTGGAAGGGAGTTTTGTAAATAATAAATAATAAAAATAAACTACCAGTCCTGCTAAGCTTTATATAGACATATAATTAAAGACTGTAAATTATAAGGCCGAAAACTTAGTAGATGTCTTTGGGATCTGCTTTAACACAAAGTTTTCAAATTCCATTCATATTTTTGAAGTAAGATTTCAATCTTACACATATTGTTGTGGGGCGAATGCTCAGAGGAATCCAAGACTGGCGCCAGTGTTGTAGTTTTAGAGCTATTTTAGTGTTGCAGCTCTTTGTTCAGTGTTACAGCAGCTCTTTTTGCTTGCAAGCAAGGAGAGCAGTGAGGAGCAAGAACTCCTAAACCGGTGTCTCCCAGAACAAAGGAAAAGACCCCCTTATATAGCCTAAATTCCCACCCTTTCCCCTCCCAGGTTCTCATTCAGGTCCTCTTATGTAAATGAGGGATACTGTCCTGCTAATTTGGATTGGGTGATTGTGGGACACAGTCCTTGGTCACTTCAGGAGCCTAATTTGCCTCTGGTCCCTGGGGGGTGTGAAAGTGCTGTTATCTCATAGAAGGTGGGCTCAGGAAGCAAGCAGGCTAAATCACAGGGGCCAGAGTTCGCAGTGGAGCATGGAGTTTCTAAAACAGTTTCTCAAGTGGAAAAGGGAAAAACTTAACAATTAGAAAATGCTTAGGTTTCCCTGCAACGACATGTTTTGGTTACAGAGACATGAGGGGGTCATGATTTTCCTAAGAAATTCCACTGACCATTCTAAATTAACACCTGTGGATTTATGAATTAAACTATTATAATAATAGTAGTGGGGTTTGCCAATCCCTTTAGCAGTTTAGCAAGTACTGATTCAGTTTCTTAGTTTTTTCTGTGACTGTACTTTAATCTTAAAAATAGGAAACAAACGAAAATACGTTTACTGTATTTGGTAATACAGATATACTCATTTTTCATATATAACTTTCTTGTCATCTCCCATATATTTATATTTTAAAAACAAAATTAGGGTCACACATTCTTTACTGTTTTGAACTTAATGTGGTCATAAGCATTCATGTCAATTGGTAAAGCCCATCTGACAAAACCCACAAGAAACACATCTGTAGATCCACAAGTTAAGTTTATTAATTTGCAGCACGATGGAGTTTAGGTAAAGTTTAAATAAAGCAATACTTTGAAAGACTCAAAGCAAAGCAGAGCTATGTGTAAAGGAGTTAACGTCAGGTCTGGCCTAAGTAGACTGAGAATCCTAATTCTTTGTAAATGGCAAAGTTATGATAAATGTAAAATGTTCTGTATGAAACCCCTTACCCTGAAGCTCTGCACCTGGGTTGGAAATAAGGACTGCTTTTTCTAGGAGTAACCCATACAGTGTAATACCTCTGAGAAATAAAAAGGAATGTACTATATATGCAACGGCATGGACAAATCTGAACATAGTTATGCTGAGACAGAAAAGTACAAACTTATGATTCCATTTATATAAAGCTAAAAAATGCAAACTATAGTGACAGAAAGTATATCAGTGGTTACTTGGGGACATGGGGTGAGAACAAGGAAAGGTGGGAGGGAGGGGTGATTACCAAGGAGTACCAGGAAACTTTTGGTAGTGATGGATATGTTCATTATCTTGATCGTGGTAATGGTTTTATGGATATATATGTATGTTAAAACTTATCAAACTGTATACTTTAAGTGTTATAGTTTATGTCAAGTACACTTCAACAAAACAGTTAAAAGTTTTAAAAATGTGACTCACCTGGCTCAGATCCTAGCAAGAGTGGGATGTTCCATTCTCACTGATGGGATTTCAAACAAAGTTTTTGCCAATCTATAATTTTAAAGAACAAGGTTTCTCAACACACTATATATCCTTGTTGTTAATTAATAAAAACAGTTTTTTACAGGTTTGCATAATAAATATCTATTTATAGTATCATTTTTAATGACAAGATATCCTATTATCTATCTCTATTGTAATTTAATACTTTATTGTTGCATTGTTAGATGATTTATAGGTTGCTTTTGTTTGTTTTTTTTGCCTTTAAATACAATTCCGCCATGAACATGCTTGTGACTAAATCTTTGTGAATATCTATCATTACTTTCTGGGGATAGAATCTTGGCATAGTAATTGACTGAGCACAAGATAAGTGAATTAGACACATTTAATTTGAAAGTTTTTTTTTTTTTTTTTAAAGATGACCAGTAAGGGGATCTTAACCCTTGACTTGGTATTGTCAGCACCACGCTCACCCAGTGAGCTAACTGGCCATCCCTATATGGGATCCGAACCTGTGGCCTTGGTGTTATCAGCACCACACTCTCCTGAGTGAGCCATGGGCCGGCCCCTTAATTTGAAAGTTTTTTTTTTTTTTTCCCTTTTTGTCTTTTTTCGTGTCTGGCAACGGATCGCAACCCTCAGTGTCACGCCCGTACCGGACCGGGAC